ATAAAAAAAAGTAGAAGAAGGAGTTAGAGGAAGTGGGAGAGGTGTCGGCAGGAAGAGGGATTCGCTTAGAAAAGCTTGACAGCTTCTACTTTACGCCCTCCTAAGCTCGTTGAATGGCGACCTTAAGAATCTTCCTTCGCGAAGCCGGCCGAAGGTGAAGAGTGTCGAAAGGAAGAGGAAAAGGAAGAGGAAGAGGAAGTGGAAGTGGAAGAGGGAAGAAAAAAGTGAAGAAAGAGAAGGAGGAGAGGAAGAGGAAGAGGTGAGGAAAAGAGAGTGCGCAAAAAACTACGTTCACTCGGTTGTGTTGAACCAACGGCACACAACCATTTACGAGTGCCATAATACCGTCCGTCCAACCATCTTTAATGTCACCAGCTCAATACAAGAAATAGATGCTTCTCTTGTATATCTCTGGTGTATGCGTATAAACGCGTGTATGTGTGTATGTATATGTGTATGTGAAGCAACGATAGTTTTGAGTTGTATCTTGTATATATATATATTGCTAACATAAGTCAAACGACACTGTTTAGGTTTATTCCTGATGATACCTAAGCTTTTCAAATAGACACGAAAAGAAATGGCGGATGACTGGTTAAAAACGGTGCTTGGTTATGTGTATTTTTCTCTTATTCAAGAATATACTACGAGGGGTTGGTATTTAAAAAAAAAAATAAAAATCACGAGAGAAGGTGGAAATGCACTTTAGGGTAAGATAGGATAGGTTTGGGTGGAAATGTAGGAGAGGGATGTGACTAAGAGATGCTCTCTGTAGACGAATATTTATATACACGTGTTTCTACGTGTATGTATGTATGTGTGTATTTATACATATGCAAAATTATCGATGGCAAGCAAGCAGATTCAAGCGATTCGCTAGACCAGCCTATCATCCGCGATTTCGATACGTATAAATATCTTTCCTAGAATACGACGACGTGTATTCAAATATTTCTACCAAATGGATCAACCATTGGATATGAAAAAAATATATATATATAAAAGAGGGAAGAGGAAAGACAAGCTTTCACAGATGAGAGTTTTCATCGTCGAAATATTACACAAGACTACTCTTTGATTTATTTTTATACTTGAGAAAAGAAAGAGAAATAGAGAAAAAGAGAAAGAGATAGAGATAGTAATGGTATCCATCTTAGCGATTATCGAACAACTTTTCTTGTATGTTTTTTTTTCTTTTTATTTTTTTTTTTTTTTGTTCATTTTTCCCATCATTTTTTTTTCTCTCGACGATCACCAAACCGCATGTATGTAAACGACGGGACGTTTTTAAAAGCAAGTTTTCACGAGAATGACGAAGTTTACTTAGAAGGCTATCAAATTCTTTTTTGATACTAGAAGAACTCCTTCTTGTGGAAACAAACAAAAAAATATGTGGGAGGAAGAGGATAGAGAATGATGAGCCATGAAAAAAAATGTTTCTATCCCTCAAATCGATAACACACATTTATGTTTATACATATATATATATCGTAAATCGTAAAATCTTCAGAAGAAACAAAATAGAAGTGCAATGAAAATGTAATATTTTCCTAGAAAAAATATCTACTTTAGCTATAAAAAAAAAACTAATCTAAATCGAAATTTTGTTTCTTAAAATAAACCTTCTTCGGATTGAAAGAAACGATGACATTTCGTAAAACCATGAAAAAAACATTTTTCTTTTTGCAAAATTGAAAAAACATTCGATTCTATTAAGTTCTTTCTGATTGTTAGATGTCATAAATTTTAGGATCTATAAAAAAAAAAATGTCGTACTATAAATGTAATATAAATAAACTTATAAATCCAAAAATATCTTTTAGAAAAGGAAGAAACAAAGATATCATCCCCCTCTTTCAAACTTTGCACAAAAAATTTTTTTCTTTACGATAAACATTTGCTTCGCTATTAAAACCCTTTCCGATTATCGAATAAAAATCTTTGAAAATTTAAATTAAATAATTATAAATATTTTCTTAATATTTTCAAAGGTATGAAAGAAATATACAAAATTCACGAACTATAAAAAATAATCTACTTTTAAATTATTATTTGGCCCATTGTCCGGTGTTTATGGATTTGCCATTAAAAAAAATCAAAGGTTACATTTGATTGCTGCATTCTTGTTGTTAAGAAAAAGAAGAAGAAAAAAAAAGAAAGAGATAAAAGGTAAAATGATCGGTTGGATGGGTCTGTGACAAGTGACGCCCTATCAGCGTCCAGCAACGTAAAACGTCTGTTTGAGAACGATCGAGAGCTACCTGCTAGACGTATCCATTCGAAAAAATATCTATACATATATCCACACATACACACACGTATATACACACATATATATAGATATACACATATCACGTAACAATATCTGCCCATATATCAAAAACGATCGATACGATACTTTGTAACCGACGATTCCAACAAAACTTATCTCCCATTTCGAATAAAAATCTCTTCTTTGAAAAGACATAACATAATCGATAAAACTAATTCACGATTTGACGTTAACATCAAATATTTTTCTAAACCAATGATATTCAAATTTTGTTCACGGTTCACGGTTCAACTCTTTACGAGTGTAAAAGTATTTTTCTGTAAAAATCCATTTTTTCGTTTTTTCGTATTTTTGTTTACTAGTTTTTATGCCATTTGAAATGTGGTAATTAAAATTCTTGATATTTTAGGGATGTTTTACTTAATAGAAATTAATTTGGTGACATTTTAATAATTATTATTATAATCTTATTTTCGATAATTTTTCATTTATTTGTCAGACAACTTGTCGAATTTCTTGACAAAAAAAAGATGACAATTTTTATTTGCAATATAATTTAATATCGTGGCACTGAGAATTAATTTTTTACATAAAATATCTAATATGAATTTTTTCAAACACGACAAATCATATAAAATACGTAACATCGTATATTTACAAAATAATTCGTAAAACCCTTGAGAAGATTTCATGGAATCCCCAACAGACTTACGTGAAACACATTTCGAAAATCACTGCTTTAACCAACAAGACCACAAAAAAAAAGAAAAATTTATAACATCGAGTCAAATTCCGCTCAAACTTTTCGTATCTAGACGGCAAATAAGATATTTGTTGCGTTTCAAAGTATTTGTTTTTTTCTGTAAAGTTACCTCACTTTCTTTCAAATTTGCAATGTTATTCGTACGAACTGGATTTCAATAGAAACACCCTGTATATATATAAGTATGTGTATATGTATATATCTATAGGATACCTCTTACAAGTACAAGATATAAATTTGTGTGTAAAAGTGTGTACATAAGTGTTAGTTGAAAGTTTGTATATTTGTACAGTAGCAATCATTGCAGTGCACCGTGCAAGCACACACCTTCTTTTGCTCCCTTTCTTTCCCCTGTAGTATACGGAATTCATCGGCGTTTTTCTTACTTTTCTTTTCGTTTCGTTTCGTTTAGTTTCGTAGAAACGAATACCATGTTGAAAGTTCAAAAGCACCTTCCTTTCCACGACGAATTTTAGTGTAATTTCCAGTCGTGTCCTTCGTGAACCTTCGTCGTATAAACCACCCCTTTTCCCCCTTCCTAAACTCCAACCCTCATACACATTCGTAAAGACGTTTATACGTGTTTCATAGATATGTGAAAATAGTTAAAAATTTATATAGCGAAAAATGTTTTCAAATCGAAAAGAAATATGTCTATAGTTATTATTTATGTTATAAAAATAATAATATATAAAAAAGAAGTATATATACATACATACATATATATATAAATTTGATTTATATCAAATATGTATATCAAATATATATATATATATATATTACAAATGTATATATTTTATAGGTATTATATGTATATTTAAGTCGATAAATAATAAATGATAATTTATGAATTTATTACAATATTTTTTTAATATACTAAGTAATATTTTTATTCAATATAAATAATTATTTTATATCCTTTCGTTACTAGCGAACCATAAAAAAAGGGTCATCATCGAATAACTCAACGACCCGTATAAGGGTAATACGAAATCATACCGTAACGAAAGTAGTTTAAATTAATTTTCTATATTAAATTATTAATTTTTGTTGTACCATTTTGTTTTGTTTTTTTTTCTCTTTTCTTTTCTTTAAATTATTAGCCCAATAAATAACGCTATTATTAATATCAGAAGACTAAACAACAAAAAAAGAAAGAAAAAATAGAAAATCTTCAGGAAGAAAGTTAAATTCATAAGACAAACCATTTTCGAGGTTATTCTCACGAACCAAAGATGAAGTCGTTTGAAGGAAACGAACCGTAAGAAGAAGAAGAAGGGTCCCACAACGCTGACTAGAACCCCATCCCTCCCCCTCCTTCACCTCCTTTTTTTCCTTTTTCCTTATCTTACCTTCTTTCCTCAATTCTTATAGCTCCCTGATATGTTGAGAGACGAATGAAAAATCCTATGGAGACAAAAAAAATAGAAAAAGAAAATAATATCGATTAGTCATCGAAATAAGTGATTGGCAAACGTATTTGTCACGAACTAACGATCCGCCAAAGAGTCCTGATTATGTCTGACGATCCTTGAAACTTTTCCTCCTATCGAGAAACTCCGAGTTCTTCTTTTTGTTTTTCTCTTTTTTAATATCCTAAAATCGACAAATTTATTAGGAAAAAATTAATGATAAATGTAAAAAAAAAAAAAGTATCGATTGTAATTCAATTAAATGTAATTTTGAGAAATTTGTTTTACAACACGATTAGTTATTTTTGTTTGTGATAAACAGCAGACGATTTTACTAACTGGTTATTGATTCTCATACGTTAATCGTAACTATCATTTTTTTTTGACATTTATATATTTATCTAACAAGAAAATTAAATACATAAATGTGAGATTAACAAAGTATAAAATTAAATGAAATAATTATGTTATATATTTAATAATAATAAGAAGAAAAAGAAAGTGTATTGAAACGTTGATAGAATAAAATTATGAAAAATTTATGTTTAAACAGGTGACACTGCACAGGTCAGCTATCTATCGTTGAGAAGTCTACTTCCGGATACAAATGGTTACATGACTTATGAAGGTAGTACGACACATCCAGGATGCTGGGAAACGGCAGTTTGGCTGATCCTTAACAAACCTATTTACATTACTGCACAAGAGGTACTTACTACTTAACCCTTATCTGAAAGTACAAGTATATCTTATCCGATATGGTCTTATCATGCACCCATCATACATTTTTATTTCCATTGTGTGGTTCTCTTTTGTTACATCATACAACATCAAACAACACATATATATTATAATCTTTTTTATTAAGAATATTTGCAACATATAAAATATGAAAATATATTTCTATTAAAAATTAAATTAATTAATTTAAAAAATTAATTCTTTTTAAATTAGGTTATTCTCTTAAATTAAATTATTAATTTTTGTAGTACCATTTTGTTTTGTTTTTCTTTTCTTTTCTTTAAATTATTAACCCAATAAAAATAAATATAATTAAAAATTAAAAATTCAATTAACTAATTGTTATATCAATTAAAATAAAACAATGAATCAATTAGAATTGTAAATACAAAAAAAAAAACATATTTTGTTATTCAATGCATAAATTTCCAACCAATCGGATAAGAGTACAATGTTAATATTTATGTTAAATTTCTTTTTTTAATGTTACATATTTTTCTTTTCTCTCTTTTTAATTTAAATAAATAAATATAATGTATACATATTTTAAGTTCAATAATAAACATATGCGTTAATTGAATAGAATCGTGAAGTTTTAGTCGAATTACTGGTGAAAAGGCAGACTTTACTTTGTTTGCAGTTGTATGCCCTGAGGAAACTCATGCAGGGTCCTATCAACGCCCCGAAGGCTCCCCTCGGTAATAATTCCAGACCCTTGCAAGACCTTCATCACAGGACTATACGAACGAACATCAATTTCCGCAAGGTACCTACTTACCTATCTACCTTTTACCTCCATTTTCTAATATCTATGTTATATACCAACCCATCTCTACCTATTTTCTTTTTTTTTTTTATTACTTTTGAACAATCTCATTACAACAAGTGAAAGAAAAAAAAAAGGAAAATGAATATTTCAACCCTACATATATGGTATAATCCAATTATTTTTTCGTATCCAACAAAAATATAATACATAATTCAAATATCTTACAAATATAATAGTCATTCATAAGGCCCCCCTCTCTTTGTAATCAAAATCCCAAAAAAAACAAAATAAGAAAATATAAATAAATATATATTACAGTTATTGACAAAAACACCTTTTAATTTAAATATTGTCAATTTAATTTTCGAAAAAAATGAAACCAATATAATTACACTATATTTAGAAAACACAAAAAAACATTAGAATATAAAATAACAGTTAATTTGTAAAATAATAAACATACAAATTTAACAAATATACGTACTTTTGAAAAATTACAAGATATTTCAAGAATATTAAAATAATATAAATAAAATTGAAAATGAAGTAGAATAGTAGAGGGATGAGGAGGGTGACTAAAGATTAGGTGGGGGAGGTAGGTAAAGTAAAGAAAGAAAAAAAAAAGAAATAGTCAGAGAATAGATATTCCCTGGAAGCTTTTTTGCTAAATTTCTTCAAAGAACCACTGGAAGGCAGTGGAAGTGATTGGTGTCCTATCAGCGAGGTCGCTTGGAAAACGAGAAAGAGAAAGATAAAAAGAAAAAATAAGAAAAAGAAAGAATGACAAAGATAGAAAGAAAGAAAGAGATAGAAAGAAAGAAAGAGATAGAAAGAGAGAGATAGAGAGAGAGAGAGAGAGAATGAAAGCCACTCCCTTTCGTAGCCAGCAACCTCCCCACACAACATTCAGCAAAATCATACGAGCAAATCTGATCTGACTCATCACTTACCTACCCTAAATTCTTTCTACTCGACCATTCCAAAAGCACCCTCCCAACTCCTCACCCTCCTCAAAAGCAACCTCCTCTTTTCATCCTTCTTCTCTTTCTCTCTTAGCCAAAAATGAAATCTTTTCTTGGTGAGAGCAATGGAACTGTAAAAAGGAACACGAGGTTGGATCAAATAAGAAAAAGAAAAATAAGAGAAAATGTGTGTCGCTATAAAATATTTTTAAAGATTATTTACTCATACACCCCTCTTATATTTTTCTCGTATTTCATTTCTAGTTTAATTCTATATTAAAACAATATATTTTAACGAATTTTATATGTTAATTAAATTTTATTGATTTTCTTGTTTATTAGATTTTCATCGATTGATTTTCATCATAGATAAAAAATAGTTGGTATATTTAATGAAATAATTGAGAAAATGATTGGAAAATTGTTTATACAGTTGTTGTTTCGAAACGTTTCTCTATTAAAATGTAATTATTATGTTTATAATTATCTGTTTAATGAAAACGATGTACATTTAATTGATATTTCTAGAAATTTAATTACACAAAATTAACAAATATCTCCAAGGAGTAATCATACGTTATTATCAAAGTATAATAATCAGGATTTTTAATGGGATCTAATAAAAATTAGGCAGAAATGTTTAATTAAATTTTTTTTCGTGCATCTCCTCAAAATAACTATAAATAAAATTATTCAAAAATGTATAATATTCGTACACAAAATTCACACTAGTCAAGATATTATCTTAATATAAATTAAAATAATATAAAATTAAGTAGAAATATCTAACTATAGTTGTTTTTTTCTTGTACAAACATAATTCAAATTATTCGAATAAACATAAATATCTTATAAACCGTGACATAAAAATTATCATACAAAAATATATCAAAAAAAAATATGTAATTGTAATTTTTTATCTGCGATTATCAACACAACTTAAAAATAAAAATTAAATTATTTTATTAAAAATAAAATAACACATTGATAGCAAAGTAATATTATATTTATATATTCGAATATAAATTTTTAAGAAAAAAATATTATTTTATTATATACCAATATATTATTGTAAATGATAAAATATTTAAATAAATATTATACAGAAATATCTAATTATAGTTTTTTTTTTCTATAGAAAATAAAATTATATAAAAACATATATAAATCAAATTTATCCGAATAAAAATAAATCTCAATTAAACCGCGACATAATATATTAAAATATATATAATATATTATTAAATATATAAATTAAATAAAAATATATTTAAAAGAAGAAGAAAAAAAATTATGATAATATTGATAATATTATTTATTTTTCAGAGAGCAGACGCAAAATGTCCGACAATGGCACAGGAGATGCATTATAGAGGTAACCCAAGCCTATCATCCAAACTTTCTCGAAGCCGGGAAAATGTGTTACATCATTTAGGAATATACTCGATGAGAATTTAAAAAGATGACTTTTTCTTTCCAGCCAATGCTTGGCGGGACGACAGATCCTTGTCTCACAACGTCGTTTGAGTTGATCGCACGATCACGCGCTTCCAAAGAGACACCTTTTATTTTCCAAGAAGGTGGAAACGAAGGAGGCGGAAAAAACTACGGGGATCTAGGTGAACGAGCTACTGAAACGAGGGGTTGAATAGGGCCGAGGGAGTGGAGTTGGGGGTGAGAGAGAGACGCGCCATAAGGATTGGAAACGATGGACTTTGACGGGAAGGAGGTGGGGGTGGTGAGGTTCGGGGGATGAAACGAAGAAGAACGAAATCGAACGAGACTTGAAGTTTAATCGCGACAAAATAAAGACCGACTGCACTCCTCGAATCGGTTCACTCGTTTCTACTAGAAAAGAAAGACTATTTGTGAGTGTGTGTGTGTGTGTGTGTGTGTATAACTATGTCTGTGGATGTGTGCAATGAAGATGTAAGAACGACGACATTGACGATCAAAAAGAAGGAAGGAAGAAAGAAAGAATGAAAGAAGAAGAAGAAGAAGAAAAAAATATTTTTTTGTTCTTTTTCTCATATTTTTTCTTTTTTTTTCTTTCTTTCTTTCTTTTCTTTCATAGAAGAAGATAGGGGTGAGTTTTTTATTGAACGTCTTTTTTTTTTAAATATATTTTATATAAGTGAACCCTTTTTTCGGGTTATGTTAAATGCGATGAAAATTAATTCGCACAATGTTTAAAGTTAGGTTTAATATATGTATATATAACAAATATGTTTTTTAAATAATGTCGGGGAATATGATTTTTTTTCATTTGTTTATATAGGGTGGTATATATATTTTTTTTTATTTTTTCTGTTTTCTACAATAATTATTGGTGGTATACTTTTAATTATTTATGTTTTATTCGATGAATTTGTAAGGTTGTAAAGTTTGTGAAAACTTCGTCGGGGTATCTGAATTGAAAAATAAACAAACAAAAAAAGAAACAAAAAAGAAAAATCTAAATAAAGTAAAAAAAAAATATTAAATAAAAAAAAGGGTCAAGAGGGAGGGAGGAAGRTGGTGATAAAATCCTCGCATCCAACGCAAACTGAGAATTTATTTCTTGAGCAACCGAGCGCTTAGATGTTGTACTTATGTATAAATTAGTTTATAAAAAAAAGATAAGAAGAAACGAGATAAAAACGAAACAAAGCAAAAAAAAAATAAATATATAATAATTTAAAAAGACAAAAATCTCCCCCAAAAAATAAAAAAGAACAAACGGAAGAAAATGAAAAAAAAACGTGTCGAAGAGAACGTATAAAAAAAAAAAAAAAAAAAAAAAATACTGAGTCAAAATTACGATAGTTCGGTGAAAACAAAAAAGAAGAAAAAAAAATTTACGGTCGAACTTGTTTAATTACATGACAGATTATTTGTCAATTATTTTCTAGCCGAGTTTATTAAAAACGGGCATCAACGACGCGTTGAAAACTAGAAAAAAAATGAATAATAATAAAAATAATAATAATAATAATAATAATAATAATAATAATAATAATAGTAATAGTAATAATACTAATAATAATAATAATAAAAAAATAATAAAAATAATAATAAAAATAATAATAAAAAAAGAGGAGGAAAGACGGAGGATCGTCAACGAATGAACGGTAAAATTTTAAAGACGTGAAGAGAAAAATAAAAAAAAATAGAAAAAAAAGAAAAGAAAAGAAAAGGAAGGAAGGAAGGAAGAAAAGGGATAAAGGAAGGATAAGGGACAGGTTAGAGAATACGTTCGTGCAAAAATTCGTGAATTTGCAAGAAGAAGAAAAAAAGGATAAGAAAAGGAAAAGGGGTAGAAAAAGAAGAAAAAGGAAAAGAAAAAGAAAGAGAAGAAGAGAGAGAGAGAGAGACGTTTCTGAGTAATCTCGTAATAGCTCGCAAATAGGGTCGGTAGTATAATAGACGAAAAAAGGGAAAAGGATTTCGAACGGGAACACAAGGCTTGGGGGATTGGTTGAAAGGAAGAAGCAGTGATCGGAAGTAGATGAAGAAAAAAAAAGTTAGAGACTATGAAAGATAGAAAGAGAAAGAAAATCGGTCCCACCCTTTTTTCTTTTTCTTACAGCTCTCTCTCTCTCTCTCTCTTATTCTTTTTGGGTGTCTTCGTAGCATCGCATAGAAAATGGGGGTCAGGGGAGTGGGTAGGTGGACGATTAAAATCAACGCTTTTGTATATAACGTACATATGTATGAATAATACGTGCGCAGTACATAAATTTTAGGCGTATTTATCTATGTACGATATGGGCAGTGAATAAAATAAAATTAAATTAAATTATAAATTAAATTAAATAAAGATAACAATGAAAGGGCGAAAAAAAAAATAAATTAATTAATAATAAACAGGCGTACATAAAATACATATACACATATACACACACATATACATTCACCAGAGGATAGAGACAACAAAAATTATACACGCGTTAAACGCAAATTTAACAAACGAGAAAAAAGGAAAAAAAAAATGAAAGAAAAAAATAAACAAAAACAAGCAAAAAGGATAAAAAAAAAAGATATCTAAACAAACAAAAAAAGGCTAGAGCGAGAAAGAAAAAAAAACAGTGTATAGTAAATGAAACTGTATAAATAAAAATACGAGGGATGGTGATCGTCGGGGGTTTAACGAATAACGATAATAATAAACGCAACGTTATATTGTACATGTTTCTCATTTTTCATTCTGTCATTTTTCCTCTTCCTCCTCCTCTTTCTTCTTCTTCTTCTTCTTCGTGTTTTATTATTCTGATAAATATTTTATTTTTTAATTTTCTTAAAAATATGTACCGAAATGTATCTCGGTGTAATTCATGATTCCAAAGAGTATTCTCGAAAGGTTGATTAAAATTTTTCTCTTTTAATTTTCAATTGTATTTTTGCAAGCTCTATGGATTTTTTCTTTTCATTTCTGAATAAAGAAAAAAAATGATAAAATTAAAAAATTTAATTTATTTCGTGATTTTCAAATAAAGAACGAATAACGTTCGATAAAAAATATTGTCGGAATAATACCAAACGAAATTTGACGGATAATCTCTATTAGATTAGATCAAGATTAAACCTATAAAAGATTCTAATATTATGCAACGTCTTCCGTTAATAGTCTTCACTTTTCTAAAAAAAAATCGAACGAGCGAGAAAGAGGAAGAGAAAAACTTCGATGAATTTCTTGGCATCGAAGTCGCGTCAGATGAAAGGTAAGTGAAATCGATTGTGCTGATCTCCGGAGAAAAATTATTTCTACGACACGTAAGATCCCTATAAGACGACTTTAATGCTTTCTGCAAAGAAAAAAAAAGAAAAAGGAAATTTTTTTTTATCAATTTTCTCATTCCATTTTTTTTCTTTTATAATATTTTCTTCTTTTTACTTTTTAACAAAGTCGAGCAAATAAAGAAATATATAAGGATAAAACAAAATTAATTTACTTTTTTATTTTCATAAATTTTGTTAACATTGGTAAGTACAAAAATTTATCTTTATTTGGTTTTTTAAATAATTATCAGCATCAAACACACAGATATTGTTGAATTAAATGTTTCAATTTTTAATAAATAAATTAATAGTTATAATATTAAATTTTTATTAATTTATATATATATTTTATTATATTATTTTTATCTATTACATGTTATAATTACTACATTTATTATAGGTATAATAAATATAGATATATATATATATATGTATAAGCAAATTTATTCAGTGCTGACTAAGATTAGATATAAAAAAGAAAAATACACCGTACACGAATAAACCCACCCTTCAACCTTTTTTGAACTAATAACGTCATTCTATTTCTAACCCCTCCACATAAAATATAAAAAAAAAGCAGAAAGAAAGAAAAATGGTGAAGCTTATGGAGAAATATATTTACAGTTATGGGTTTAGCATAACAAACGTTTGTATCTAATACATGGACATAGAAATTTAGTTTAAGGATGGTTAGAAAGGGTCCAGAGATGCTTCCAGTTGCAAAATTCTGTAGAAAAGAAGAGGATAAAAAAAGAAAAGTAAAAGAAAAAGAAAGGAAAAAAAAAGAAAGAAAAGAGATAGACAGACTTGAGTAGGATATGCTTACGAAGCTTAAAATTCTAAAAGGAGAAGGGGTGAAGGGGGTGGAAATAAGAAGAAGAAGAAGAAGAAGAAAAAGAAGAAGATGGAGGAATGCCGAACCAGTGTGAAGAAAAAAAAGGGGGATGAAAAAAAGTAAGGTAAAAGAGTCTCGTGATCTTCTTCAACCACCCTACAAGTATATCCATGTGCCTGTCTGTATGTGTGTGTAAAAAAGAAAGAAAAAGAAAGAACACTCCGCACCCCCCTTTATGGAAATTAAGAATGTGATTTCGAGTCCCACGAGAACATGTCGCATTCCCTTTTCCTAAACCCCCAAACCCCACCTACGTCTACCCACCCTTAAACCACTTCGTTAATCTCTTCATAGGCTTTACCGGTAGACACTTTTTATCGAAATTTTTTCACCGGTCTCAAATTACCGCGAACAAATTTCAACGAGTTCATCATAAAAGTCTTGTAGGAATTTCTTTACTTTTTCTTTTTACCTTTTTCTTCTTTCTTTCTTTTCTTTTTTTTTTTAACAATTTTTTTCACTACAGTTACAAAGATTACTTATTTGTTATTTTGTTTATCTTTTTTCAAATATGTATTTATTAATATTAATTTATAGGTATTTTTAATATTATATCTATTATCATATCTTTCTGTCAAAAATATTTATTTTTTATTAAATGGATGATCAGTGTGTTAAAAATCTTTTCTTTTTTTTTATTTTCTTTTTTATATTCATGGAAGTTACGAAGACTGTAATTTTTTGACTTTGTTTAATATTTCTATATTCTATTTTTATGAATATTTTATTTCCAATGCAACCTAGTAACTAATTTTATTTATTATCATACGAATATTTCATCATTACATCCAATTAATATTTCACTTTATTAACCAATAATTTTTGTTTTGCAAAAATAAAAATAAATAAATTGCTTTTTTTATCTCATTTAAGTCATTCAAAAGTCATAAGAAACAAATCATTTTTCCTTTAGTTCTTCCACTATAGAATTTACATACCGTCAACTAGCACCAAAGCGAGACATTATTATTTTTTTAAAATAAAACGAATAAAAATAAAGAACTAAAAAAAGAAAAAATAGTGACACAGGTAAGGTGGGAGGGGGGCGGGATATTCAAGAAGATAGAAAAGGAAGGAAAGAAAGGTGCTTTTAAGCTCGTAAACGCAATGAAGAGTCGCAGTTAATGTTCCGAAAAGTTGAAAAGAGAAAGA